TATTTTCTTACTTACTCATAATTTTTGTGTAGTAAGTCATCTAATTCTCTGTTTATTTACCGTCAGGGTCAGTCAGCTATGTATTTATTATTATATGTGGATGATATTACTATTACTGGCAATTCTCCATCTTTTGTGTCTTTTTTATTGCCTGTATTGCTTCTCACTTTGCTATGAAAGCTCTCGGTGATCTTCATTATTTTTTGGGAGTCCAGGTTGTTCGAAACTCTGAAGAAGTTTTCTTGTCTCAACAAAAATATGTCTCTGATCTTCTTCTTCGCTTTCACTTACACACTCTCAAGTCTGTTCGTACCCCAGTCTCCACTCATACATCTCTCTCCCTCACTGATGGTGAACTTCTTGCTGACGCTACGAAGTATCGTAGTATGGTAGGTGCATTGCCGTATTTAATTAACTTTGACAAGACCTGATATTACTTATGCAGTTCATTTAGTGTCTCAGTTTATGCATGCCCCACGCACCACTCACATGCTTGCTGTCAATCACATATTTCGTTATTTACAGGGTACCATTGATCATGGCCTATGGCTTCAGAAATCTGCCCGCTCCTTGTGTATTTTAGCCTATTCCGATGCTGATTGGGCAGGCTGTCCAGATACTTCTCGCTCTACCATAGGTTTTGCTATTTTTCTCGATCCTAACCTTGTATCTTGGAAGTCCAAGAAGCAACCTACGGTGTCCAAGTCTTCCACAGAGGCTGAATACTGCGCCATAGCATACACAGTACAAGATACACTTCACATACATTCGGTCCTCTTTGAGCTCGGCTACCCTATCCGTGACCCGGTTCAGTTATTTTGTGACAATATTTCGGCTTCCTACTTGACTACTAATTCTGTTCAGCATGCTCGCAGCAAGCATATTCAGATTGATTATCATTTTGTTCGTGAGAGAGTTGCTCATGGTGATTTAATTGTGATGTATGTTCCCACACACTTGCAACTTGCGGATATATTTACTAAAGCTTTATCTAGTCAGCAGTTTAATTTTTTGAAAGATAACCTGCGCGTTGTATCTCCCGCACAGCTTGAGGGGGTATAATAGTTATGATGAGTGTTCTTGATACCAACTGTGAGTTCCAAGTGAAGTAAAAGTCTAAGGGGGGGTGAATTAACTTTTAAATCTTTTCGGTTTTGAACCCCTTTTCCTCTAACTGGATATGTTTCAACATCTTTTGGGAGATATTGATACATGCAACGGAAGTCTTGACCTCAAGAGGATGACACTGTATAGGAACAAAGGTTATGACCCTTTTTAGTTATGAGAGAGATGGGTTAAACATTGTACAAATGTGTTTGCCAGAAACAGAACACTTTTGGAAGCAGGATGCCGAAACTTGAAGGAGATGGCTGCCAAAAATCTTTGGGAGCTGAATGCCAAACCTTAGGAGCAGGCTGCCGAAATGTGATTCTGTTTGTTTAGTTAAAGTATAGCGAAGAACTTTACTCTAACAACTTGACTCACTTTTAGAACTAGTCTAACACAAGTGTATGAAGGATTTAGACCAATGGAGATAGGTCACTTTGAAGAGCAGATAACAAGGAGATGACTCACAGTGAACTGGGAAAGTTCACTAGACAGTTTAAGTGAGCAAGTTGTTTTTCTTTTGCAGTTGTGAAGGTGAGTGAGAACTGAAATAAGTGTTAGGTGCAGAATGTAAGGGTGACAGACGATGTATCCTGGTTCAGGGGTGGTGTAATCCCCCTACATCCAGTCCCAACCTATTTCAGATGGATTTTCACTAAATGTATATCTCATTACAATTAGTACCCAATCTACCCTTGGCCCAAGCATAGATTGTGAGTTTTTTCACAAGGAACTTAAATACCGTTCCAAGCTACTCATGTCCTCCCAAGGTTTTTCACTAATGGCATTGACTCGCCAAGAGCTAGTCATGTCCTTGTCCTTTCTAACCTTCTGGATTTGGTCACCAAACCCTTCAGAATGTCTAACACTAGTCTAGATTACATGGGTGTAATATCTAAACTACCAACTAGTCTAAGCTCTATTGATTTGTATGAATCATAACTAGTCTAAGAGCATTAGACGAGTGGGGTGGCGTCCTAAGTGGAGAAGGGTAATCCCGCACTCCTTCTGTTTTTTTTTAAGAAAGGTGGATTTTATTGATAAAAGTAAAAATAGTACAATGCGAAAAAGGAAAAAAGAAAAACAAAAAAGCAGTACAAAAGGGAAAAAATAGAGATTTGAACTACACCCAATGGAAATCTTTGGACTGCGACCTAGTCTTCATGCTGTGGCGCCTTTTGTTTTTTCGAGATTTCCGGTAAATCTTGAGTTGTGTGTTTAGATTATCTGTTGGCAGACAATTCTCTGAGGTAACAAAATCGGCTTTCCAACAAATTGCTCTGTTGAATTTAGAGTTTCTAATTTCTTCCTGATTTGATATAGGAGGACGACGGTCGCTTTCGGTTGCATGTCCCAGATAGTCGTCTGAGAAAAAAGAGTCATCAGAATGATCAAAACTATTAGATGCGTCTGAATAAGCCTGGATCAGTGGCAATTGGGTTGTATCATTGGAGAGTAGTCCGGCTGTTTCTCAGCACATGTTGCCTGAATTTGATAATTAAAAATCAGTTTAGATATGGATATAGGATCCTCGATTTCATAGGTGCTCCTGTGTTGAAAAGAGATTGAATCATCCTGCATCTTTGGGAACCCTACAAAATTAGATAAAATAGTGATGAATTTAAGCAGACTGGATTTTTGGGGACCCATAGGAAAGAGGATGGAGCTTCCCTCATCTTTAGCAATTTTCAAGTAATTGCTAGATCTATTGCTGAGAAAATGAATCTTGATCGTTGCTTGATCTACTTGCTTTGTTCCACTTGACTGAGGCAACATGGTTTCTTCTGGTCACATAGTGACACAGATCAACTATTTTCAGCTCAAGTTGTTTACACATTTCAATGCAAGATAAAAGATATTTCATCTTTTATTTTCCTGCGTAGAAACTAGTATAAAGTTGAGTGATATTTCAATGCTTCCTTACAACGATCAAACACTTGCTTTTGTAAAATAAATTTATAAGAAATTCATAATGTGATAAGAAATCTCTTATAAATTTACTTCTTAACAATTTTTCTTTTGTCTGCAAGTTGGTCTTTTGTATAAGTGTTTTGTGCTGAGAGAAGAGAGAATTGGATTTCAGATGAGTTTAGCTGAAAAAACCCAGTTTTTAGCTGGCTGCCCAGAAAATCAGCTGACTACTGATTTCTGGAGTTTTCCAGTTGGCTCCTTCCTTACCATTAAACCAGTTAACTCTTTTCGTACCTTTTCTTCTTTTTGATCCTTTTCTTTCTTTTGTTTATGGTACAATTAACTTCTTTTTTTAGTACTATTTGCTTTTCATGAGTACTTTATCCACTAAATATGGAGCACATTACAATTATACAAAATAGAACATAGTAGTAGACTAGTCTAATACAGGAATAATAAAAAAGGGGTGACATCATCAAAACTATTACATTGTATATCAAAATCTAGGGGACCTAGCAAGTTAATATAAAGGGAAAGTTCCCGAAATGGGACTAAAAAAGTTTGAAAATTCCAAAATATGACTGTCATGTTTTTATTCCCAAAATAGGACTAATTACTGCCAAATTTGGAAAATACTGCCATGTTTGAATTCTGGTACTGCCAAAACATGACAGTAATTAGTCCTATTTTGGGAATAAAAACATGGAAGTCTTATTTTGGAATTTCCAAACTTTTTTAGTCCCATTTTGGGTAATATCTCTACTTTTTATTTGTCTTATGTGCCATGTACTGGAAGTGATTTTTGATAGCATACATCTTAAGTGATTTCCTGAACTCATCCCTGTAGATGTAAATCAGTCCTTCTTCAGGATCTACATCACTTTTAATGCAATTTGTTGATGCTAGGTCAACACATTTTTGTTGCAGTAGTTCTTCACTGGTTTTATTTTCCCAAGCTAATATAAAACCATTAATGTCCAACTCTTCACTAACTGTTGAACTATCTTCAGACATTGTCACTACTTGCATGCTACTTGTTTCTTCTTGTTGATATTGCCCAAGAAATATGTTGCAAGTTGTTTCTTCATGTACATCAGCAAGGCTGATACATAGAGGGAATTTGGTGACATCCATCTCTTGTTTCTTAAGGTGTAGGTAAAACAACAGTGCTGAGTTATCTTGTATCATCAATGGTGGATAATTCTCTCTGACTTTGTATTGAATTATCAGTGCAGTTGATGGTCTTTCTATTCCAATCCTGACTCCTATCTTTGTAACCAACTTAGGATAACAACTATTTGTAGCTAAAGTAATTCCAAAGACATTGAAATTCACATACTCCGTTGTTTCATTCCACTTACCATCGTGATGAACAATAATAGGAACTGTTTCCATGTTCCCTGTTATTAATGAGGAAAAATTCCCGGGATATGACTAAAACAAAGTGAGTTTCTCGAAATGTGACTAGTTATGTTTTTTTTCTCGAAATATGACCAAAAATCGAAAAAAAAAAGAATTTTTCGTTATATTAAATTGTGGAAGGACAAAAATACCTTTTTAAAAAAAATATGCATTTTACACTAATTTCGTCCGGGTAAAAATATTGCACTTCATGAAGGCGTTATTGCACTACATTTATTGCACTTTATGGCGGTATTCACTACACGACATAACATTACACTAACATTACATAATATTATATCAATATTATGTGTGTAAATTTAAAAACAAAATGTTTTTTAATACTCATACAATTAGGGAGGTTTTGATATTAAATCATGCCCTTTTAAACGAATTATATATGTACACTCTCAAATAGAGGGGGTTTTATGTATAATTCGTGTGTGGACATGTGGATAATAAAAAGTTTTTTTTTGCAAATGTGGATAATAAAAAGTTAGAAACGATTCCTTCAAAAAAAAAGTTAGAAAGGATAACACGAAAGAGACATATTTGAACTGAATGGTCAAAAATACCCCCTGTATATATAAAACTAAAAAGAAAACAATCCCCCGGCCTTCTTTGATCGCTGCCTGCTACCGTTCCATCTCTTTCACCGCTCGTCTCCGTGCCGCCATTTCAGCTCCGCCGTCGGCTTCTCACGGCGTCTGATCTTCTCCGCACTGCCATCTCCACGCAATCGATACCCCACCGCGACCGCTCGGCGCCGTGCCTCCATCCCACTGAGGTAGGTTTGGGTGTCTCTGGGATTTAACCTGTCATTGGAAGCAGGTCACTGTCATAGGAGGTATAATTGTAATGTTAATCACTTTAGTATTATTTTTGTCAAAAGTGAAAAAATATTCTTAGGATTTTCAAGTATGTTTTTAGATTACCAAGTATTGATATATGCATTTTAAATTGGTAACAGTGGAAGCGGATTGTTCTGAGTTGAACCATGAGAGTTCAGATCCATGAAGCGAATTCCTCCTTGAAACTGATCTTCTTTGGCGGGAAAACTCTCAACTCACCACTTCACCTCCTTAACAAAAACATAAACTTTCCAACCATGGGTACATTTTGTTCATTTTGTCGAATTGTAGAAGCTAACTTCCCTTGCTCAACTTTTTTACTCGAAGATTACTACATTAGGCTTTGGAACAATATTTAAGGAGGAAATCTTAGTCTCGCAAGGGTAATGAATAGTGTAGAAGTAGAATAAAAGGTGGAAAAGTATTAAAGATAAAATAAAAGGCAAGAATAATTAAGTATTTTTAAAGGAAAAATTAAAACAATTACCAAAAAGGGGAAGTTTCTCAAACTTTTAAATAAATCCTAAATTGGAAAGTGTAGCAAAATACGAGGGAGTATTATGACTTCAATGCTAATGGTTGGTTTCTGCTCTGTAGGTCACCGTAATCTAAAGATAAAGTGCAGTGTTCGCTTTCGCCCTTGTATTGATATACACAAGGTTTGATTCCTGTGTATTCTTAGATTCTTCGATTCAAGGGTGTTCCTGAATTCAGATTTCTGACTTCGATAAGAAACATTGTAGGAGGAATTTAAGTTCCTTTCCCCCTAGACCAAAAAACTAAATTTACCCATGTTTGATTGATTGGGAGGATTTAATTCCCTTTAAATTTCAACCATGTAAAATGCTTAATTAAAATGCTTTGACCCTTCCAAGTATTTACAAATTTAAACAGTTTGGGAATATTTATATATGATGTCTGGAGACATTTTACCCCTTGCAAGTTGCATTATTGACTCACCTGTCTCTCTTTCTCACCCACATTGTCACATATATATCATAACAAAACCTGGTTTTTTCCTGCAATTTTTAGTATTATACTTATATTGTCCTTTTTATCTTACATTATCTTACATTATCTTTTTATCTCCCTTATCTTTCTTTTCTTTTTGGCTCCAATATCATACAAGTATATAGATTCATGTTAGCTGACCCCAAAATCTTTTGGAACTAAGACTTGGATGTTGTTGTTCGTGTTATTGTTGTTGGCTTGTTGCCATACATGAGAACATTAAAAATTTTGAAATGAGAAGTTTATAAGTATTTTGATGTCCTGAAGAATCCTATATTAGGACTCGGGTCGATAAAATTTGATGATCACATGTATAAAGTAGTAATGTACCCTTTCAAGTTTTATGATTTTTATCCAATAAAAATACCTAATTTATATTTTATTATAGATAATTATATAATTTATTTTGAAGGGTCTTTGAGTCAGTATAGAAGTTATTCAATAAGAAAGTGCTTAAAATAGGAGTAAAAGATGAACAAAGTTAAAAACAAATAGGACTATTTATGTTTTATTCCCATAATAAGATTTATTTAGTCCAATTAAAAGAAGAAAACAATAGAAACTTACCAAAGTAGGACTGAATGAGTCTTATTTTCTTAAGAAAACAATGGTTCTATTTGAGAAATTATGCTATGTTTTACTCATATTAACGGAATTTTCTCTTATCCAAGCTGAATTTCATAGAATCATAGCTAACCAAACATGATATGCCTAATGCTTTTCTTCTACTAACCAAAAACTGCCATTTGAATGCTTGCTTGATTCCTTTTTAATTACTGTTCCATAGATTTAAACTTTTTTTTACTCAATGGCCAAAACTGTTTCAGGGAAAAGTAAAGCAGATTGTTGGATCCACTCTTCAAGACACGAAAGACGAAAATGCAAGTCTTGTAACCAATTTCATATCTGATAAGTTGGCTGCAGAATATGCTAAGATTTATAAAGATGATGGGCTCCCAGGCGGTCATGTAATCATGCTTGGAGCTGACCCGCTGAGCCAATCAGCAGCAATTGAAGCCATATGTGCTTATCCTGGTATGCCACTGGCTATTTCTCTCTCTCTGATGATGATGTGTTCCCATGCAATGAATTACATGATGTCCTCGTAATTATTTCAATATTTCTATTATTTTCGTTCTTTGCTCCTTTACGCTTGGCTAGATAGTGTTGTACTTGGGTTTGGATTATTTCTTGCTTATTGATACTTGATTGGAGATATATGCATAGGTGGCTTGCAAGTTGGAGGCGGTATCGATTCAAACAATGCAGCCAGTTACATAGAAGCCGGAGCAAGCCATGTCATCGTTACCTCTGTAAGTTTTCTTTCAGTTGTCCTTTTTTCTTTTGAATAACATAAAGTTCTAGTTCAACATTAAACTTCTCCTAAAATCCTGAGGATTGTGAAATTGTAATTTGTCCATGCCTCTAGCGGAAGTTAGATCAGACTATGAACTTTGGTGCATATTTTAGAGTTCGTGGTGGAATATTGTATTATTAAGGACTTTAAGATTAATATAATAAATTGCTTAATGGTAAGACCACAATTGGTAAGAATTAATTTGAAGTTGGATATTTCTGGATGGTTGACATAGGGTCTGTATTTGGGTTGGAAAACAACATCCTTATTAAAGCCTTACTTCAGGAACACTTGCATTGCAGTATGTATTCAAGAATGGGAAAATGGACACTGACAGACTAAAGAAGCTTTCTCAAGTTGTTGGAAAGCAGAGACTTGTTTTAGATCTCAGTTGCCGTAAGAAGGTATAATGATTTTCTTTTGTAACTTTTTTTTGTAAAACTTTTCATATGGGGTAAGAAGTGTTCTTGCTGACTGGTTCTTTCAGAGCCCTTGGAGGCTTTTCCTGAACTTTGACTTTCTTTCTTGTTTTGTAAATAAATTCACTTCATTGTTTTAGTGCCTCTTTACTCCGTATCAGCTTCAAACTGATGAATGAAACAATGATACACAGGAGGGTAAGTATGTAATTGTCACAGATAGATGGCAGAAGTTTAGTGATGTACATCTAAATCAGGAAGTTCTGAATTTTCTTGCCCAGTATGCGGATGAATTTTTAGTCCATGGAGTTGACGTTGAAGGAAAGAAGTAAGTCTTTAGAAGATTTCATTGATAAGTAGTTAGCAACAAGAGTTACAAGACTCAACACTACTATTTTTGTCAGATGACTCAGATTACATTGATGCATATAGTAATTTAGTTGCATCCACTACTTCCTTAACTTATTGATGGAGGTAAAACTCTAGAGGACCAACACTACTCAAATATTTGCATGGATGAAAACCAATTTTCACAATGTTCTATCATACATCGAATTAAGGAACAACTTAATATTCCAGTGAAGTATTTTCCATCAAACATTTTTCATAAAGAAACGTTTAAACACAGGAAACATTTTTCAGTGTGTTTTACTGCAACCAAACAGAGCATTGACTCTTGCATGTCCTTTTGATACTCCGTTGTGCTGCATGAGTTTTTAGGCTGGGAATAGATGAAGAGCTAGTGGCACTGCTTGGCAAGTATTCCCCTGTGAGTGCCTCACCCACACACAACTCCCCCCAAATATATTGTTGTGTGTTTGTATATATGTATCATTGTACTGTATCCAAACATTTTCCATTCTATGAATTGCTATTTAGATTCCAATCACATATGCTGGCGGCGTAACTGAAATAGCGGATTTGGAGCGGATAAAGATAGCAGGGATGGATCGTGTGGATGTTACAGTGGGAAGTGCTTTAGACATATTTGGTGGAAACATGGCATACCAAGATGTTGTGACTTGGCACAGACAGCAGGAACATTTGGCAGCTTAACGGCTGGGAGGGGGGTTGGCCCACCTCAGGTCTAATCTACACCTTATATACCTATTTTTCAAATGATGTGAACAGTTGTTAAAAAAATGAGGCTATTAAATTAGATCTTGAATACCGAGCATTAGACTTGCTATAGGCTCGTATTTTCTCTGTCAAGGCCTATGTTATCTTATTTTTTCAATACATGAGGCGCACCATGGTTCATCCAAATTTTGTGTTGGAAGAATTAAGATGTATTCGTTTGAATTTTGAGCTCTATCTATTGCACAATTGCACTATCAGTTTGAAGTGAGTAGGGTAACTTGAATTTGACTGTTTTCTATGATGCTTGATGTGGTTGTATACTTGTATAAATGTATAAAATGGATGAACTATCAAATCCTGTTACAACGAATGGATAAGTAAAAGCATGTATGAGTAGCATTGGATAACCAAAGCATCAATTAACTTATCGAAGATGGTTTCCATAAGCAAAATCTTAGTTACATGACCATGTCCATTCTTACTTACATCCTTAACTCTCTTATATTCCAATATCTTATGCTTGGTATGGTTGGCCGGAGTGATGCTCTTATATTCAGAAGTGTGAAGTATTTAATTAGTTAAGGTGTTGATGTGTGATCGGGAGGTCACGAGTTCAAGTCTTTGGAGCGGCCTCTTGTAAAAAAAATTGACAGAATAAGGCTTGACTATGTACGCCCTTGTGGTGAGACCCTTCTCCGGATTCTCTCCCTGGATGCTTTCGTGCAATGGGATGCCCTTTATTACAATTATTACATATGGAGTATGTTTGTTGTTTATTCTCTTTAACACAATATGGATATTTTTTTGGAGTACTAGTTTTGTTCTCATATTAGCTAGACTTTCCATCATTTGCAATGGAGCCAAAGATTCATTATTTTTTGGCTTGAGAATATGATGGAATAAAGCAAAATGGCTCACTAAACTGTCTGCGCTTCTTTGTTATGAAGCAGCAGTCAGTCCATGCAATTTTGGATTCGCTTTTCACTATGGGTCATCCGGAAACAGTCTCTTTGTGCTTTAGTATAGGGGTAAGGCTGCATACATCCGACCCCTCCTTACCCCACCGTAGGTGGGAGCCTTTGCGGCACGGGTGTAAATGAAAATGATTAGCTACGGTTTCCTTTCCTTTTTTATTGGCTCTAAAATCCCTGCTGCCCAAGTAGTGCCCAACCTGTAATGTGCTGCTACGTTACAGGTATAAGGTTTATCTACTGCGACTCTATATATATTAGCCAGACACTATATATTAGTCCTGCGCTTAAATATCATCATTCTTTCTTTCCCTCTTCCATCTGACTGGTTTATCAAATATTTGGATGATATTATTGCCATCATTTGCAATGGAGCCAAAGATGCACTATTTTTTGGCTTGTCAATGAAATAAAGCAAAACGACTCACGAAACTGTCTCCACTTCTTTTTTATAAAGCAGCGATCAGTTCATCCGACTTTCGACGCTATTTTCACTACAGGTCATCTGGAAACCGTTTATTTGTGCTTTAGTATTTGGAGGGGGGGGGGGTAAGGCTGTATACACCTGATCCCTCTTTACTCCACCGCAGGTGCGAGCCTTTGCGACATTGGTGTAATGATGGTGATTAATGTCTTTTTGAATGGATCGCTGGATAAAGAAGTCTATGTATTAAATGTGTGGTTACTATGATCATTCAGTACTGTCGCAGTATGTCTTTCATATAAAGGCTCTATTTAGGCTGAAGTACGCTCATTTGGGTCGGTATTTAGGGTCTGTTTGCAACAGATTCTGCTTTTAAAAAAGTGCTTTTTTTAATGAAATGGAGAGAAGTGATTAAATAAAAGTTGATAGTGTTTGAGAAAAAAGTGATTTTAAAAAGTAAAAGTTGATAGTGTTTGGTAAAATAAGTGCTTTTTGTGTAATAGAAAAAGTAAAAGCACTTTTGACACGAAAGCCGAGAAAAATAGAAGTTGTAGTGTTTGGAAAATAAGTGCTTTTTTAAAGCCAAAAGCTGAGAAGTGCTTTTTTAAAGCGTTTGCAAACCAACCCTTAGTGTTGTCTCCATGGATTTATTCTGTGTTTTCTTAGTATATGTAGATGACATTGTCTTCGCTAAGAAATAATTCAACACATCTATGAGATTTTGTTGCTCAACTGGTTGATAAAGTTTCTACAAAGAATTAGGGCCTTGTTTAGTCCATCCTTGAGGATTTTGATTAATTCTTACTGCTGCTAATACATTTTTGTCAACACGATAGTATTTAATGAATGTTTGCCTAAGAAACTAAGATGAAAATTTACAGAGCAAACCGAGTGAGCACCCCAATTCAATGATGTCGGCAGAGCTCTTGGCGCCTTGGCAGGGTCTGTGGCGACATTATCTCACAACACCGCCTCTTGTCGTCTGTTGACTAGTCCTCGGTATAACTCGTCTTATTGCTCTTATATACGGACTACAGACTATATGTTATTGAGATTTAATACTACTATGAAACAATTGAACTGATAATATGAATATCCAAAATCTACATGCTAGTTTGTATCCATATTTCTGGTAGCTAGTTTTGTATGGACGACTTGTATTGTACTTATTCAGCCTTAAACATATTGCATGTGCACACCCATCTAGTAGGGTTGCCACTTATTCTTCTTATACTTAGTTGGTAAAGAAAGACATAACAAATGGAAAGCTACATGATTTTATTCTTAAAGTTAGGTTTTACATTGGATAATATGAACCATAGTCAAAATGTTGACTATGTTATTTATTTTTTACATATGCTTAGATTTTATATAGTACTCCGAGAAAGATGAAATAAAAATTTAAAATGGCAGAGAACATTTTTCTAAAAATGATTGAGTTAAATTTGTTCATACTTCATACATCCATTCCACATTTTTATTCTCCATGACATTTACTACTAGCAAAATTAATTCCTGAGTACCCAACAGGCCATTAATGGAAATGTTGTGAAGGAAATTAAGAAATTAAATTGACTTGCATTGATAAACAAAAAACATGATATATATAATTGATTAAACCTTTTGCTCTCTTGGTCTCTTCCATTTCCAATACCCATCTATACATCTCAATACTTTGGATCAAACATCCAAGCTGATTCAAATGAAAAATGGGAAAATAATTGTGACAGAGAAACTGGAAAGTCTCTAGGACTGTCACAACAAAAAATAAAGCAAAAAAAGAATAGCAAACTTTGCTCAATGGATCTGGAGTCTGGACCAGAAAAGATATATATGTACATTCTTTTCAGAGAAAGAAAAAAAGCTCTGATCTTTCATCTTTAGCTTGGCATTTGAGATCAATTCAAGATCGAGCTAAGCTTCAATAACACTTCTTGGGGACGATCTTACCCTGAAAAAATGCTCCTCTCCGGTGCACTTATCTACCTTCACAATCCAGTTCCCTCTTTTCTGCACCCCATTACTAACAATCTTCTTCACAGGAATTCTTGTCATCAACAACCCTTCACCAATAGGCAAAAGATTAATGCGTAAACCAGTGCCGCTCCTCCACGACGGCTTCCCGAAGGCGTTATACCCTAAAACCACCGTGTTCATCACCCTCCCACTCCCTTCCACGCTTCTGAATATCTCCTCATGGTGATCAAGGTTGCAGTCAACGGCAATGAAGTCAGCTTCTCTATACTTGTTCAGTATCAGTTCCTGAGCATCCCCGACGACGAACTCAACATGCATTCCGTTTGAGGACGAGACTAGAGAGAGATTAGACCGGGAATAATTTTCCGGGAGGATGCAGATGACGCGGCCTCCAGTTTGCTGCGACGCCGCGGCCAGGGCGAGGGTGATGGAGTCAACAGGGCCAGCGCAGGCCACAACGGTGAACCGGGCGTTGTTCCCGGCAGCTAAAGCGGAGACGAACTCTGCCCCGTTCAGCTCCTTCACGTCCTCCCCCTTGGCCATATTCATTGTTCTGATATATGCCTTTGTGGCATTCTCAGCAGACCAGAAGCTCATTTTTGGGGTTGCCATAATAATACAGTGCTGTTTTCTGTTCTTTCTTTTGTGTTTTTTTCTTCTCTCAGGCTTTCTTTGGAAAGATGATTGCTTTGAGAGTGAGTGTCTGAATGAGGTCTGGAAATGGGGTTTTATAGGGTACAAAGATTAGGGTATGAATTCAGACAGAATCCAACTGCATTAGGTAAGACCTAGTTGCAGATGGGAATAATTTCCTCTCAAAGAAATGAAAAGGAACATTATGAACGTGATATGTTTTTACCATGTTGGAGGTACATATATACTATCCAAGTGTCTTGTTATACAACTTGCAGATATTTGAGTGAGTATAAATATGAAAATGTTTCAGTTAACTTCAGTTTTAAAATGATGAGTCAAGCTTTTGCCTTTAGATGCTTTTTCCTTCCTGTTTAGATCTGGAATGGACCACTTGTCTGTGCAGAAAAACATGTTCTCAGTACCTATGAGCTGTAATGCTGTGTTTGGGAGGGACATCTGACACTTTTATTTCCTAGCAATGCATTAAATTATGGGGTTTTGGTTGTTCAAACTAACATAATGTGATTAGGAGAAAAACTGGCAGAGCCCACGTTTTTTAATTACTAATCATCTACAGAAGACTCTCAAACTTCAGTCATTAGAGGAAAAGTTAAAGAAACATGCATGTGTGGTTACTGTTGGGAAGTTTGACCATTTCCTGATTAATTATGTCAGCGTGGAATGCCTTGGTCTTATAATTATGTTCACTTTTTTATTTCAGATGATAACCCTCTTTTACTAATATTTAAATTACCAGTTACAGTTGGTATTAAGAGACTTAGAGACTATTATAAAAGTTATATTTATGTGCAAAAAGAGAACTCAAACAAGATAAATTTTACATCAAATTGGAGATCAAATTGGAGATTAAGGATGTTTTAACTTGGATTGGAATTTTTTGATCTGGTCAAGTTTTTCTATGTCTAGTTTAGTCATGTTTGAGTTGGTCTAGTCTGTAAGATGTCTGGTCTTTGTGTATTGTATAACTGTCAAAGTCTGGACTAGCCTAATTTGACCTGCCTCGTTTGATTTGGGTTAGTCTAGTTTGGGACTAAAATAAGTCCAAGTAAAAATGGTTATTTTTGTTAATAATTACTCCGGATAAGATAAGATGACCATGCGGTTGGAAATAAAACTACAGGTCTGTTTGCAACAGCTTTAAAAAACATTTCTCGATTTTTGGCTTTAAAAAGCTAAAATTAGTATTTTCAAGTGACAACTTCTATTTAAAAAAATGTTTTTATATTTTTGGTTGAAAAGTGCTTTTTACTCTTTATATTACACAAAAGGCACATACTTTATCAAACACTACCAACTTTTACTTTTCAAAATCACTTTTTTCTCAAACACTATCAACTTTTACTATTAATCACTTTTTCGAAAATCACTTCGAAAAGTGATTTTTAAAGAAAAAAACATTTGCAAAAACTCCCTAAATACAGAGTACTAATAATACTAGTCTACTGACTACTATTGAATAATACGTAGTATTATACAGACTTGAAGTTCATTCCAAAAAAATTAACTAGGAAATGTGTTGTGGATGGTCTCATCTAGACTCCTAGTCTCCTTCCTATATCACATGGATTAATTAAAGATAAAGCGATGGGGAGATAGACCTAACAAAGATCACTTTGATTTTTCAAAATTGTTTCTTTCAAGAAAGCAGCTAACTAAATCACGTGGAGTTAATTAAAACAAAAATTGTTAGGTTAGGAGGTAAACCTAACCAAAATAACTTTAATGTGTTTCAAAATTGTTTTTCTCTCAAGAAACGAGATAACTTAATCACGTGGAATTAATTAAAACAAAACTGTTAGATTAGGACAAATTATACCGTGGGATCGGTGCACCTTGAGCACGGTGTACCAATCCCAAAACGGCGTAGTATTGTATCAAAAAAACGCAAAAAATCGATCTTTTTCACAGAATTGGAGAAGGGGCCTCCTCTGGTCGCGCGTAGAGCTGCCTCTTCTGAAATCGCTTGTTATGGTCGCAGATTAGAGCTCCGCCTTCACCCCTAAGGAGTCAGATCTCGAAGGTGATCAACGTCTCTAGATGTGAGGCTACATCGTTGTGGGGATCCTGAATCGTCGCAGTCATCTCCGCTGTTTCCGTTGAGCATGAGATCCAGATCTAATGTCCGTTTTTCCCGTCACTGTAGATGGCATCAGATACGTACTTGACTGGTTTGAACACCATCTTTGAAGGAGATGTTTCTCCCATGTAGCAGACCAATAAATAGATGAGGGAGTAGCTTGTCCAACGCCGGCAGTGGTTGAATCGATGACTGGTTTCCACCTTAGTTACGTGGATTGAAGTTGTCTATATTTTGATTGAAGGATTTTGATAACATATACTCCATAGTTACATTTTTATTAAAAGAATTTACATTTCCATTTATGTCAAGTTACGTATCTATGAATGTGAGTTACATGTCAACTTTCCTCAGCAAGTTACATCATACTTAAACGTGATTTACATTTTTCATAACACGAGTTACACCATAATATAATGCTAGTTACATAACAAAATAAGCTCATGCTATTCAAAGACAAATTATTTTTATAATTTTTTTTAAAGAAATAAAAAATATAGAATGATTTTTATAAAAATAATTTTTATAAAAACTATATTTGAAGTGGTATAACAAGTTGAAGTTGAGAGAGTAAAACAAGTTACATATTCCAGCGCATGAGTTACATTAAAAAAACACTGGATTTACATTTTACAATAACGCGAGTTATAGATCAATTACGCGAGTTACATTTGTCACAACGTGAATTACATTTGAAAATAAACTCCTGCTAATGAAGAAAAAAAGGATTTTTTTAAAATCATTTTCAATGGCCTTGACATTAAAAAATAAAACATATACACTATTTATGTAAAGCAATTGTGCAATTAGTCTTTTTTTTATTGTTTACATTGAAATCAATATTTTATTTTTTATACTATGTATTTGACAAGTTACATTTTGAATAGACCTGAGTTACATTGGTCAACAACGTGAGTTATATCTCTTTACACGCGAGTTACATCACCCTGCTACTGGAACAAGGGAAAGAACAAAAAAACAGTTACTGTTCACGCACGTGAACAGTAACACACGAATTTTGCTTTTGGGAGCACCATGCTCACCGTGGGTTGCTCCGACGGTATAACAACTGTAGATTAGGAGGTAAAGCTAACCAAAATAACTTTAATGTGTTTCAAATAAAATCTCAAGAAACCAACTAAATCATGTGAAGTTAATTAAATTAAAACAGGAAGGGAAACCTAACAAAAATGACTTTAAAGTCCTTCAAAATTGGTTCTTGCCAGAAACTAGATAATATATTTATAAATCACGTGGTGTACTTTAATTGAACCAGAGTGTGATTAGGAGATAATTAAACCTAACAAATTAAAGTGAACTAAATGGTTTTTAATATGGGAAAATTTACCGAAATAGTCATATATAGAAACATTATATTGTGAAATTATAAAATAGGAGTATTAATTACGTTTCTTTTCCCTTAATATGAGTAAATTACTACATGAAGTCATATTGTCATATT